TGTCCCCGGTTTCCTCTCCACTACACCCCCCTGCTGGTCACATTTAGAATAATCCCCTCCAGTCCGACTGTTGGTTACTTTATATCAGTAACTACACAGTTGGTCTAATAGTTTTTTGCTCAAATCAGAACACAACATACTTATAAAGAGCACAAAGGAATTGGTGGCAAGAAAAAAATAATCTAATTTAAGATAATTAACATTATAATTCTAATTTACTGAAGTCTGACATTTTCGATTTCACATAAGAAAACTTTAGTAAACAGACGAATGTAAAATTATGAACATTGACCTCTGACTCTTTTAGACAAACAATGTTAACATCGGTTCTGTTCTGTAGAGTTCCTGCTGTCCTTCGTGCTCGTTTGGATGTTCGTCATATGTAAACATCAACAGCAGTTAGTTCCACTAACGACCTGTTTAAATATACACTTGGATACGTAACATTTGGGTCGTCTTACGACCTGAAGGATCCGTGTCTTATCAGTGTCGGGACAGAAAGACTGAGGTACATGAAGTGTGTCCAAGTCACAAAGACAGTCTTCAAAACAACAACCAACCAATATGGAAGACAAAGACAGATCTGAAGTGGACCGTTCACGTCCACAAAGACACTTTAACCTGACAACCTGGCAGATTTTATCAGACCTGAATCTGTGAAGGTCCAACCCCAGCGGACAGTAACTCAGGTTCCCAGCTCCTGCAGCCACAGTCAGGCCTGACACGGTCTGACGCTTTTCTAATGGAGCTAAGACTTTGATCTGGTTTCACGCTATAATATACCAAAGTATTAGGTAACAAAGGCAGTGGGAAAGTGAGGAGGGGTGAGGAGGGGTGTGTGTGTGTGTGTGTGTGTGTGCTGGGTGGTCTCCAGCAGCAGTAGCAGTGCCATTAGTGCTGTGTTGTCTTGCTAATAGGCTCAGTTTGGAGTCAATGGGCTGATGGGGAAGAGGACCATCCATGTATTAGATCCCTCTCCATTCAAAGTCTAATGTGAGCCCTCCCCTGATGTTTTTAAATGCTGCCTCCCTGTGTATTGACTTTGATAGCACCTGTGTCACTGCTCCTGTCCCTCCACTCCTCACCACAGACCCCTCCCTGCCCCAGACCTGACACTCACTCAGTGTTAACTGTGACAAAAGTTGAAAATTAAAGAAAAAAACTTTTTCTCCTGCCACTAACTATTCCAAATCAAAATGTGCCCTTGGACTGAGGGGCAAAACCCCAGATGTTCATATTTTAAACTTTCAACTTTCACAGAGAAGAGGTGAAATTTTCTTTCTGCATACATTTTTAAATTAAATAATAAAACATAAAAAAAACCTACAACCTCTTTGAGTTTCTTTCTACTCACCTCTCACAGGAAGGAGCTGTGGATCAGTGGGCAGATCACTTGTATTACAACCCTTCAGTTGTGGGTTTGATTTCCATAAACCACTCTGTCTCCAGTGTTTGGGGCAGACTGCATCTGTGGACGCCTGAAAATGAAAGAAAGGATTATTAGTGTGAAGCACAGCTTCATTTCCCGACACGACCTCGACAAACGACCAAACAAGAGTTTAAATGAACATTTTATTGACACAGCGTCGTCTTTTTTTAGTTTTCCGCAGGTTCAATAAATACATTAACACTCTGAGAACTCGTCTCGTCCCCACAGAGTAAAAAAAAAAAAGTCGTATTTTTACAACAGAGGCAGCGCCGGCTTCCTCTACAGCTGACATAACAGGACTTGAACCCAGTGTGTGTCAGGAGACACAGGTTGACACCAGGCCTCGCTCTGCCTTCCACAGATTTCTTTGGCATCCATCTGAACTGAGTCATGTCCTGGTGTTATGACCCCCCCCACCCCTACCACCACCACCCCTGCCCCCCTCCCCTGACATCTCCACGGAAATGACAGCGTGATAATGAAAAGTCAAGCTGACAGCGGTGGGCTGTGGCTGCCCTCCTGCAGCCTCCTCTCACCCCTGCTCAACCGGGTTTAGCCCTGAATCGACGTCCACTTTTAGAAAAAGTCTCAGACGCGCAGCAGGGTTAAGTCAGGGCCGAGCTGCGGCCGTTCTCTTCCCGTTTGAACGCGTGTGAAAAATGGGAATTAAAAAAAAAAAGTAGTGAAGTCATTTTGATTTTCTGTTTAGTTTGGATATATGTTTGTTTTCTTCACTGTAGGCAAAGTGTGTCCAAACTCTGGCTCACAAGCCTTGTGTGGTTTGTCACGGCCAGCGGCTGTTTCTCTCGTCTTCAAAAATGAACTTTTTTTCCTCCTGAAAAAACATTTTAGTGATTACAGTTTGGCCCAGTGATCAGAGGACTATTTTTTGTTAATCAAACATTGCAGTCTTTGGCTAAAAGTGTTTCGAGGAGCTTCTGTTTTGATGAGTCTTACTTGCTAACATGTAGCTGTCATTAACTATTTCCTTATTTTATCCTTCCACTATCTTTTGCTCCATTTCTCCATATTTCCCTCTTTTATTTTATTTTTTTCTATTCTTGCTAATTCAACATTTAGCTAGCCATGAGCTACAAATCCTTTATACTCACTGGCTAACTTGGTCTGTATGTGTTTAAAGTAAACATTTTTGTTAGCTCAACTTCCCAAAAGTAACCTTTGACCTTACAATGTATTAGTAAATCATAACCCCGCCCCTCCGCCCTCCTCCTCCGCCCGATGCTGTGATCCAGTGATCTTCAAAGGCAGCTCAGACTCCCACATCTCCACCAACCAGTGACCTGAGTGATAGTGTGTGAGGTCCTTCACACCACGTGGGACTTAATTCCTTAAACAAACCGTGTTAGAGAGTGATTCACAGCTAATCTGGACAGGCGACGGTCATTCCCATCTTTCCTTTAATAATTTACGATGGCTGGGATTTATAGCAGCCGCTCCCCGGCCCTGCATGCCCGCCCAAATCTATATGTCTGTAATATAATGAGATTTTAGCGCAGCCGGATTATAAATTATGGTGTGATTTGTTCCCTTGCTGTTTTGTCAGGGCACAGCCCCTGAGTGTGTGTGTGTGTGTGTGTGTGTGTGTGTAGCTCGGGGACATGGCTGGCATTTGGCTGCCACGACTTGCTGACGTACACACAGATAGATGGGACCTGATGGTTGGTGTCGCCACTGGAGGGAGTAGAGGAGGAGGAGGAGGTGGAGGAGAGGAAAGGAGGACACGAAACTGCAAAAAAGAAGAGGAGAGAGCAGATAAGAGGAAAGCCAGGAGAGAGTACTCAGAGGAGAGAGGAGAGTGAGGCCCTCTGTGATGGATGGATGGATGTAGGGGTGGAGAGAGGAGTGAGGAGCAGAGAGGAGGAGAGATATTGTCTTGTGGCAGGAGACGCAGCTGCCAGCAGTGACAGAGCCAAGTGGTTAACCACAGCCAGGCAGCAGCGTTTGGAGAAAAGAAAGCAGAGAGACAGAGACAGAGACAGAGGGAGAGGGAGAGGGAGAGCAGAGGAGCTGAGCCACATCCATCTCCTCCTCACATCCATGGCTCCAGGGAGCTGTTGGAAAATGAAGAATTACATGGCTCTGATCAGATTACATTACAGAACATGTGATTACATGTGTTTGACTCCTGTACAAAAGATCGGGGACGGAGAAGACGGAGGAACGGAAACATTCATGATCTGATTAATTATGTAATTACCTGGTGTTTGTTCTGTCTATAATACATGGGGGACGATGTGGGGGACGTTGGGGGGAGTCGAGAAGGTAATGTCCTCCATTCTTAACTGCTACACATTACAACGCAGGGCAAAAATCCTAGGCAGATGTATACACCGATTATTTGACCTTTCCTGTAGATTATTTCAAAGTAAAAGCAGAGAAAAACAAAGTTGATTCTCGGCAACATGAGATGTTTACCAGCCCACCTGGGCCACGGCTGCGGTGGTATTTTTAAAAGCATTTCCAAATCAAGTGGTAAAACCAAAATGTTTCATCAACTTCATCAACAAATGAGTTCTTCTTCACAAACATTGTGCAGTTCTGTGATCTGGAAATCCCCAGGAGTCAAATGGTCTCATATCAAATGTTTGCTTTTCCTCCAGGAACCGATCCAGAGTTCAAATCTCGGCCGACTGGACCATTACTCCCAACATGAGTAATCAAAGTACTTCAGGCTGCACAGCACTTCAACATGCCAGAGCAACAGTTGGACTTTCATGCACTTGTGCCCCTTCTCCTGTCTGTGTGAATTCCACTTGTTTTAATGTATAAAATAATAAGTTTAAAAAAACCCTCATTTTTAAATTATGGGTTTAAACAAACTTTGGGACCAGCAGCGATCGCAGCTTATTTCCTCGTTTCTCCGATCGCTCCTCCATCCTCAAACATCGGCGTGGATCGACTTGTTGTTTGCTCCCAGCTGTCTGCACGGTTTGGCTTTTTGATTAGAGCGAGACAAAAAGACAGAGAGACGGGGAGTGAAGGGAGGACGCGGAAAGAAAGAGATAGTGACGAGAACGGCAGCCTGGAGGCACGTGTCGAGCAATGTCACAGATAATCACACGTTGTCTTAAAATAGCTTTGAAAATCACATCGTCGGGGGGTGGGGGCTGGGGGTGCAATGAATGAGAGAAATGCATCAGAGCAGATGTGCTGTAATTAATGAACAGATAAAGTTAATTTCTTCACAAAATCCCTGTGGGAACATTTATCAAGGGCAACATAGAAAAAGTGTCCTATCTGTGGGTAAAGAAGGGGGCGGGGGTCCTGGGGGGGGCATTATCATCAGTATCTAACATCTACGTCTGCTTTTTTCTCTGAATCACAGATACAGATGTGTGCGTGGGGGGTCGAGGGAGGTCAGGGGTGGTGGAGGGGGGAGCCAGAGTGAGTCAGGTGAAGACGGTGAATTGTTCTCTGGTTCATCAACAGTTCCAAGTCACTGGTACTGTTCTCCACGGCTGCCCGAGGCACCGCGGGATCTTCTCTACATGTCCATCAGAACGGATCTGTAACTTTTCTGTGTGTGAATCTCAGAGACGTTATGGTGTCAAGGAAAATGTCGTTACGTTTTCATGGAGCAGGACGGACGGATTGGAGGAGCAGTGAAGGTGGAGGAGGTCTGGACCTGTGCTGAGGACACGTTGGACAATGGACGTTGGAGACGGCACTGCCAGGGCCCGGGAATCAAACTCCCTGCTGTAAGGCGAGGAGACGGCACTGCCAGGCCCCAGGAATCAAACTCCCTGCTGTAAGGCGAGCTCAACAACCAGGTGCTGCACTGTGTTTGACGTCTGAACCTGAAACTTCCAGCTTCTCTACCAGGAGCCGCTCCACCACCAGCAGAAGACGATAGTTAGAGGCTAAAAATAATATTTATTCCTGCGGGTGTTTAATGGTCCGTCAAATGGGGTAACAAGGACGGCTGATTTGTGGGCCTCTCTCTGCAATTACCCCACCTTCCCTTTTCCTCCCTGTTTAAATTAAACAAGCCATTGATTTTATGCTGGATATTATTGTGCCATATTCCTCAATGGTGCCTGTGATGGAGATACAGAGGGATCAGAGTCGGAGCGAGGAGCGCCGCGCGATGCCACGAGGAGAGGAGCAGATGGAAGAAAAGCGGGGGAAACAATGACTTTATTTAATTAATTAGTTTCTAATAGAGACGATGAGAGCAGAGCGTGACTATTTAGTAGGTTTTTATCAAGTGAAACCTGGTTAGTGTTGGCTTATTTTATGTTTTTTCGTAAATAAAGGAAAGTGAAATGGAGAGTGTGAGAGTAGATACTTCATACAGGAAACGAGCAGAGAAGGAATGATGTCTCCTGTGAGGACAGTCAGTTAGACGTACCACAGCAGATAAAGACAGACGGAGTCAGACTCCTGCTAAATGTCTGCTCCCTGATTAATTTAAGTTTACAACTCTTTCTCCCACTTTGTCTACAACATTTTTTTTTTCAAATGTCTACGGCAAACTAAAAAAAGCTTCACAGAAAGTATGACATCACAGCCTCAAAAGTAAAGGTCACTGTCCAAGGTGCTGAAGCCTGGAGGAGAGAACATATTTACTAACAGTAAAACACTGAACTCAGAATAAACTAAATTAGTAAAAACAAAAAGTATCCCACTGCAGCCTGGTACCAAATGGTACCAAATACCAAATGCCCCCCCCCGACCCCACAGCCTCTCTGTAGGCCCAATCATGACCCATAGTTCCATACTCAGTAACAAAGCCAGAATTGGTCTTAAAAAACATAGTTCCATACTCAACAAAGCCAGAATTGGTCTTAAAAAACACACAGACACACACACGCAGACCTGCGCTGCCTGTCGATGTAGATTCCTCTCCCATTGTGTTACTTGTGCTTCTCCAGGTGATTACATTCCATTGTTGTGTCTGAAGGAAAAATGAGATCACCTCTGACAGGTTCATCATGGAGAGCCGCAGCAGCCATTCTGCCTGACGTGACGGCCCTGACACTCTGTGACTCTATTAGCCATGTCTTTTCATCCAAAACACAAGGCCGT